GCTGCCATGGTAGGGACACTGCAACTACCCGAAGTCGACAGCTGAACCGAAGCATCCAGAGTCGTCGCTCGCCCCCCATTTGATTAACCTTATCTCGTCCTGGACAAATAAACTTCCCTAGGCAAGGCCATCCATCGCGTAACGATCACACATGTACAGCCGTGACGTGTTTATCCAATTGAGCAACTTGGGTTTATTATACACAGCATTGATACACCTGATCCTGTTGCGCGCTCGTGATTAATCAATTGAACTCGATTCGATTAGGATTAGGAAAAAGGCTAACTTAGCAAACTGCTGGATTGTTGCCTGTTTCCTTTTTTTTTTTTTTTTTTTGAGAGAGCCTGTTTCCTTTTTTTGGGTTACAATAATGATTCCGCAAGCCGGCCGGCCCATCAACAACGTAGCGATTTGAAGCCCATTTAAGTAGATTCCTATACGTACTAGATTATCGATAATTTTCCCTTCTCATTGCGCCACGCTAAATAATCGAAGGCGAACCGCAGTTGAAACTGTCCTGTCACCGCTGCTTGGGCCGTGGGCCTGAATGCCTGATCGGAGTCGCCGCTGGTGATGGGGTCCCCATTTTGAGCGTAGCCGATCAGAGAGGCGGGACCGATCAGGAACGGCGGCTGCTGACGTTAGGTACCCGTTAATCGCCAAACATAATCCACCGATGGTGAAAGACCGCGACTGCAGGTGCGGTGCCCGCTAATATTATGGCATCAGGGTCAGGGTTATAACCAATAAGCCGACACAATTGTCGTTGACGCCTCGGCAGGGTCTCGGATAAGTGGATGCTAACATCAACACCAACGTTCAAAAGACCGTCATTTTTCAATTCCTTCGACAGTTGCACTGAAATTACCAGCCTCGTTAGTTTTCAAAAGACCGTCATTTTCAATTCCTTCGATCGTTGCACGGAAATTACCTGCCTCAGTAGTGCACTTGGGCTGCTTCTAATAAATTTACAAAGGACCGAAAAGAAGAAGTATGAAGTCGTTGCCGGGACATTAATAATTATAACCAGAGTTAAATTGCGAGACGCGCGGCACATTTTCGGTGAACGTGCCAAGCTGGCAGTCAACGACGCACTTCGGCTTGATGCTTGGTTTCTGAAAAAAAAGGACTGCACGCTGCTACGATCCAATGCGCCCAGGGCCAGCACGATGGCGGCTACTGGCTACCGCAGGAAGGTTAAAAACAACGGAACTCTTTTCGGATACATGCCACTTTTTGCCGTGAAGCGCCATGACATTATAAGGCACCAATAATCGCTGCTACTGGCACTGGCGCTACCAGCAGCTGATTGTGGACGACGTCTCCAACTCAACGCTCCAATCATAAAACCTGCCCCTTTGATGCAATTAACTCCTCACCTTGGACGCACTCGTGTTTCCAGATGAGCAGAGGGACTCATCTGCTTGCTGCATCGAAACCCATCCGGTCACGCAGCGCCTATTAACGAACATTGGGACCGCAGCGGCGCGGCGGTGACTACATATCACCGCGTGATACATGTGCAATCTTGCCTGCGCCGTGTTACCCCATTTGTGCATATCATCTTTCCCAGTAAAGCTGTTTTTTTTCAGTTTCATGAACAGCTCACTCAGTAAGACTTGTGTGGTAAAAACACCTTCTGTATAGGTACACCAAAAGAATGAAATTACTGTAATGCCCTTTCTCTTTCTTCCTCCACCTCAACCGTGCGTTTTTCTTCCATCTCCTCCCTCAATCTCCCCCGCATGGCTCCACCATCACCGCCAGGGAGCTCAGGGCACAGCGCCACCACCTTCTTTGTACTCCCCATGCTGCTGCGCTCAAGCCAGATCTAGCCCTCCACAGCCTCAGGACACCGCGCCCATGGCCTTCGTTCGCGCGCCGCTACCGCCATGACCGGGAAGGCACAGGAAGACTGGAGGAGCGGCATCCAGTGGCCACGCGGCTGCCTCTCGTCCATGAGTCCCAGCGGCGGCACGCACCTGGGCAGCGACCCTCCTGGAGGTCCCCGACAGCTGCGCCCCTGGTTGGCGGCGCCCCGGCCTTGCGCCCCTAGTGGCGGCGTCCCGGCCACAGGCTCCCGGCAGCCACGCCCAGGCCTCGCGCTTTTTGGTGGATGCGTCCCGGCCCTACGTCCTCGGAGGTCGTGCCTCCACCCTGTGCCCTGGCAGGCTGCTCCCGCCTCCGGCGGAAGCGCCCAGCCCTGCACGCTATGGCGAGCCGCGCCGGTGGTCACGCGCTCCAGGGAGCCACGCCTCGGCGCCCTCTCTCTTCTCTCTCTGCTTGGGCAGAAGCAGTGTTTTGCATACTGGGCCCCACATATGGGAGATGAAGCTGGGATGAGCCTTTTTTTTTCCAGTTCTCTCCTATCCATTCCTTCGTAAGAGGACGAACAAAACAGCTTCACCATGAATCTATTTTGAAAACAAGATGTTTAGCAAAAAAAAAAAAACAGCTCAACCAAACAGTCCTTAGGTGTTACCGCTTGGTCCCATAATCTACAGACCGAGCTTTTGTTTTCAGTTCACGACTGTTTGCATGTTGGTTTTGTTGGCAACCAGTAGCAGTAGTAAACAGTGCTTTCTCTCTCATAAAAAAAAGCAGCCCTACCAGGTAAATTCAATTGTAAATACCATCAATGAAGCAGGACACTGCGGAGACTTGGAGTTAGCCCTTTTAGTTCATGAAATTTGGATTTTAAATTCTTGTGTCACTTTTCGTTTTTATTTGATAAATAGTGTTTAAACATGGACTAATTAGGCTCAAAAGCGTTAGATCTCGTAATTTCACAAAAGCTGTGCAATTAGTTTTTTTTTAAATACGTTTAATCTTTCAAAATGCGGGCATGAAGCGATTCGATGTGATGAATCTATAGCAACTTTTTAGAATTTGTGGAACTAAAAAGACGTTAGATCAAGGACTCGTTCGGTTGGTGGGGATTATTCCAAGTGTTCAAAAGGATATCTGGTAGGAATAAGGCCCCCCTGTTTGGTTGGGTTGTGGTACGTGGGAGAAAACTAGCGTAAGTGTGAACATGTAAAAAAAAATTTAATTTGAATTTGTGAGTATGAAAAACTGAGAATTTATTTGGTTAAACAAGTATAAAATATACCTTTATCTTTATCTCTCTTGAAAGTAATTATGCAAGGCTTTTTATTACCAATTTGAAAGAAAAAGCCAGCGAAGGTGTCAATAGAATTTGAAAAAATTCTGGCAATTGCTTACGAAAAACACTCCAGCGAATTTTGTTGGTTGAACTTTTTAAACTTTTAGAATAGCAAAAAGCCGCAAAAGCCCATACTTGTGCATTTTAAATCGAGGATGATTCCCTGGACAGATGAACCTTGATTTTGAACTCTGTTCTGTTCATTGCTCTTCTCGTGAGATCTCTGTGAATCTCTGAACAAGCATGACCTGCTCATGTGTAATGTTATGATACTGTCTGCTTGTGCCACGGGGTACTGACGAGTACAGTAGTGGCATTGTTACTGTGCCTCTGGGCTCTGACGCCACCGCCCTGCTGCAAAACGCAGACCTCGCGAGCACAGCGCGCATAGTTCCAGTGGCGCACCAACCGCGCCATGTGGAGGTTGCGATCGCTTTTTTGCACATGTTCGCATCGCCGGCGGCCAGCTAGCCATACCGCAGGGCGCGCATGTGTCCGCACGGGCCCTGAGCCCCGCCCCCGCTTCCTAGATACTCGCCTCGTCATCCAACCCCGCGCACGGATCTCGGCGCGTGCCACCAACCGTCGATAACGTACCGCGCGCCGCCGCACCTCCGGCTCCGCCTCCGCGCCGCGCGCATTAAAGCTCTCGCTCATCACTGACTCCCGACGAGACTTGGCTACTACTGCATCGCAATCGCACGCGGCACCTGCCCCCGATCATAACCTCACCGGTCGCCACCAGCTGCAGCCACAAGCGCAGCGCTCGACAGCCTCACCAGCCGCCATCACTCGCGGCAGTACCCAGCCGCCCTGGGGAAGTGGAGTCAGAGTGTGATAAGCCGCCGCTGCTGGCCTGCTGCCGAGCGCGCCGAGTGCGAGGAGACAGACACTCACAGCAGCAGCAGCAGGGCGACGGACCGATCTCTGCGTGCGGGGGGGAGCAGACAGCAGAGGAGGGAGCGCGCGTGGACGGGCTAAGCGCGGCAGCATGGGCGCCGGGATCAGGATCCTGGCGGCGTTCTTGGCGGCGCTCGCGGCCGCTGCCGGCGGCGGCGTGACGGCGCAGCTGCGGCAGGACTCACTACGCGGCGGTGTGCCCGGACCTGGAGAGCATCGTGCGCGACGCGGTGTCAAGAAGGTGCAGGCGCAGCCCGTCGCCGTCGGCGCCACCATCCGCCTCTTCTTCCACGACTGCTTCGTCGAGGTGCGCGGCCGTCCGCTTTCCTTCTTGTTCCTCCTAACCAGAGCTTCGATTGGAGATACCGGGCTGGCGCGAGTGTGCCGGGCGGCGCGCGCTCGGTCCCAACGCATGTGCGGCAAGTGCTTGCCATGTGAGCGTGGTGTGATTGTGACCTCTACTGCGATGAATGGACTCGCGCAGGGCTGCGACGCATCGGTGATCCTGGTGTCGACGAGGAACAACACAGCGGAGGAAGGACAGCCCGAGCAACCTCTCCCTGGCCGGCGACGGCTTCGACGCTGCAATCATCCAGGCCAAAGGCGGCCGTCGACACCGTGCCGGCGTGCATAACCAGGTGTCGTGCGCCGACATCCTGGCCCTGGCCACCAGGACGTCATTGCCCTGGTACGTCCTGGAACTCCAAGCACACGGCGCAAATCAATGCCCCTGATCGCACGCACCTTTCGGGCCCAAACCAAAAGCTCCCGAACTTTGGATGGAGGATTCCCTGCGATGCTAGTAGTAGTAGCGTAAAGCGTAGTGTAGTACAGCACTTCAGCTACAGGCTCTGGAAGTAACGATCCTGGATTCGCGCAGGCTGGCGGGCCGTCGTACGCGGTGGAGTTGGGGAGGCTGGACGGGCTGGTGTCCATGTCCACCAACGTCGACGGCAAGCTGCCGCCGCCGTCGTTCAACCTGGACCAGCTGACGAGCATGTTCGCCGTCAACAACCTGTCGCAGGCCGACGCGATTGCTTTATCTGGTGAGCAAATTAACCAAATTACTACTCCAGTAAGTGCTTTCTTTCTTCTAAAGAAAAGGTTCTGAATCCAACTGCTGTACCAGCACTAGCGAAGTACATGGCTAGATTTCCATGTGCTCCGTTCCATGTCTTTCGAGAGTCAAGCAAAGGGCCCAGCCAACCAAGGCCAGCGCCCCAGCGCTGCAATTAAAACTGCAACATTTTGTGTGGTCTCGAGGATCCGTAGCACGATAGAAAATGCATTATCCCCTAGGTTAGAACAGCAGAGCTGACCAGTTTATTATCACGGTATATAAACGAATAGTTGTAGGGTGTGTGGCACTACAGCTGGTCGCTAGTAGAAGTAGATCTGAAATGGGTCAACTTTGGCGACTGTCTGTCTGGAATGCTTAGTAGCCGTGCTTGCTTGCACGGTTGCACGTGAAAGAAAGGTCAGCAGCGCATTATTGTACTCCATCATCTCCATGGCCTCCACTGTTAGGCATAATCCGACCCAGACCGTTTGCTACTGAGACAGCGCCCAGCTACATTATTCAGCCCATTGATTGAGGCACATACAGGCCTGCCAAATGAGCTGTCGAAACCAAAAAACTCGTGGCATCATTCAGTGTCACGGAACAGGACTGCTGACTGCAGGAGCATACCGCAAAGAAACAATTTTAAAATGAAAAAAAACGTTCCTGCACATCCATCTGCAACATGATCCACTGAAAACGCTGAGAAACAGCGTGAAATTTATATGCTTCTGTTGAAGGAAAAAAAAAAGAAAATCTGCGTGTTCCGAGTGGCACTTTGATTGAGCTGTTCCTCTTCCAATCCTTGCAGCAGCGCACTTGCGGTGGGGTTCGGGCACTGCAGCACGTTCTCGGACCGGATCCAGCCGCAGTCGGTGGACCCGACGATGAACGCGACGTACGCAGCGGACCTGCAGGCGGCGTGCCCGGCCAGGGTGGACCCCAACATCGCGCTGCAGCTGGATTCCCCGTCACGCCGCAGGCCTTCGACAACCAGTACTTCGTCAACCTGGTGAACGGCCGCGGGCTCCTCACCTCCGACCAGGTGCTCTACTCCGACGCCCGGTCGCAGCCCACCACCGTGGTGGCGTGGGCGCAGAACGCCACCGACTTCGAACAGGCGTTCGTCGACGCCATCGCCAGGCTCGCCGCGTCGGCGTCAAGACCGACCCGTCGCAGGGGAACATCCGCCGCGACTGCGCCTTCCTCAACTGATCGTCTCGTCTGGGTCCGCCGCCTCTGAAGTAAGTTTTATGTCAAGTAGATGGATGGAGAACATGGACATACAAGGGCTGGTTATATCTCAAGTGTTCATATAGAATCTAGAGTAAAGGTTAATTAATCATATCAGCACAAGGTTAAATGGTTAATGCTAAGGAGATTGCTTGATTCAGCGATTGATATATAGTGGCATAGCTTTGCTTGGTAGGGCAAATGTATTCCTTTTCCTTCTCAAGGCCCGTTCGTTGAAGCTTAATCCAAACCGGAACTGTTCCTTGTCTTCTTTTTAAGCACTTACGACTCGCTTGGTTTATTGGGTCGGCGGTGTTTTACTCTAAAAAACTAGCATCAATCAGTTGAGCGAGGCCCGTTTGATGTATAAAATAGAGCTACGTTCTGGCGGATCAATTCACAGGCTTGATTCCGTACTTCTCCGAACGTGCCCCTAATTTGTTCAGTCTCGGAGCAATATTTGTTTGAATATTTTCTTTAGGGTTGGTTCATGCATGACAGTTGACAGGAAGAGTGATCATTTTCTGAAGTTACTTGTATTTTTTTTCCTGAAACAGCCCTTGCTGTTTTCAGCCATTCAAGCCTTCAAGGCATAGCATTTCCGTGGTGCGTAGCAGAATGCACTGAGAATGCGCGTATGCTTGATCCAGATAAGCGACAACTATTTCTGATCAAAAGATTGGCGACAACTACTATAGCAGAAGAAGTGCAGAGCAACCATTCTTGTGATGGATCGTCCGCGCGTGCGCAATCATTAATGGATTTGACTTTCTTAATGGAATTCTTCAGAACAGCTGCACTGCACAAGGCAACTACGTATATAAAACAAACCACATTCAACTCCAAAATTTAGCTGTGAGCAAAACGCGGAAAGCAATGCGTTTTTCTGGATTAAACACAAATGGCGGTGAAACTACTACCACCATCAATCGCCATTACTGGCCCGTTTGACAAGGGAGCAAAGAATCCATACCGATTGATCTTTGTTCGCCATTACTAGCCCGTTTGACAAGGGAGCAAAAGAATCCATACCGATTGATCTTTGTTTTTTTTAACAACAACACCGTGGGAGCTGAGAGGCTCCACTTGAGTACATTCTCCACAGATTCCGGGCAAGTCAGTGATGGAGGTGCATAGCACCTAGTACATAATTGACCCTCGAAAGGTCAATGGGGTACAAAGTGGGGAGGAGATAACCAGCACCAACGGTAACACAACACAACAACAATAACAACATGATTTAGCTGCCAGCTCAACCTACTAATAGAAAGCTAATACAACACTACTTCCTAACATGTGCCACCATCAATGACGGAACTCAAGCGAACTCTAAACCATATGCACGGTAGCAGAAGGCATTGGTAGGATCAAATGAGACAACAGCCCGATGAGGCTGTAAAAGCGGAGTCGAGGCCAGCAGGCGACAAGCAAGTGAGAGATGCATCACCTATAGTGTATCTGGGCTCCAACCTCAACAAGCGTCCCAGCCAACGCCATTTTGGGGAAGGAAGCCTCAAAAGGGGAGGATGCCAGAGGGAGGAGAGCAGGAGATCCAGAGAAGAGATCAAGGTCCAGCGCCCACTTGCGTAGGATGATCACGAGACACTCAAATGAACTAGAGGATAATGACAGAGCAGAAGTTTGTTGACAAGCGAGCAACTAACAACTTAAGTGAGTGGCGTATAGAAAGCCAAAAGGTGGCCAGGGCTGCCCCTATTTCAGTTTGCCAGGCAGGGCAAGACTAAAAAATGAGGCCCTTAGAACATATGTACATCTATTATCACTTTCGTATTAGTTTAGATGCTAAGCTAAGAGTAGTTACCTAACATGCCATTACCTTATACTCCTTACACCATACACTTTTCAAAAAATTATGTTTATCACATACCTCACTTAGATGTCCAAATTATTATCTGCCAGTAAGGCCTGCTATATCGGAGTTATCTCGTCACATCTTTGGTTAACATATTTTTTTTCTTGAAGTAGAGACACATCAACTAGTAGCTTGCTTGGAACACACATGTTTCTATTTCTCCTTCTACAAAAAGCTTGGCAAAACATGAGAACTAAGCCTGAGTCCAGGCGTATTTATTGTTGGGGGTTCATACATCTATGAGCAATGCATCAATTTTGAGCTAACGATGATTATTACTCGGTGATTATTTTGAGAGATAATCTAGAAGTAACCTTCAAGCCTAGTCGAGTGTTTGCATGATGGGAGCTTATTTCGTCATTGATAGATAAGAGCGGGGCCAGATCTTAGAGTCCGAGGGCCTCGAGACTGAAACAGATATCCTCAGGAGAAGAAGAAAGTGGGCGAGGCTTTAGCAAGAAATTTACATTGACTCTGCAAGAAGGATCACAATTTTCTTTGCCAGGAACCTACCTACTTCCGCAAGGCCGTTGACTCAAGAAACGAGCTATGGGCAGGAGTCGAATCTGCAGCTGATCTTTGGGGGACAAGCTCACGGCCAACAAGCGAGGCTAGAGTTAGCGAAGAAACTAGATGAGAAGCTAAGCAGAAGGGAGAAAACACGGGCGTGCTCGGGGGGCCTGACGGATCGAGGGGCTGGCGACGAAATCCATTTCCTCGCCGCCCACCAAAAAGCAAGGCGGAAGGAGAGCAACTTCGAGGAGGAGCACAAGGACACGCCGAGAGATGTGGAGCATATATAGATATGAAGAAGCAGACCCCAGGGAACAACCGGGGAAGCGGTGTGCTTGTATCGATGCCTTTAGAAGGTAAGTGATGTCCATGGGCGCCACCATCGGCGATTGGAGCACTGAGGCACCGATGAGGTTTCCACCGAGACACGCGCCTAACTAATGCGACAAGCTTGTAAATGCTTCCGCGATGGCAAAAATTGAAATCTCTGACAAGCGCTTTCTAGGGAGGGATATGGCGCCATTTTTGCGCCATCGTCGTTGGCATGGAAGCGGCGGCCCGGTGGGGTTCTCACCTAGATTCCATATGCCTCTGAAGCGAGCCACAACGCAGCGACAATGGCGACAATGGCCCGGCCCTGCCACCGATGGTGTAGAAGGAACACGAAGCGTGGGCGCCGTGGCGCCGATGCGTCTGAGTACCCGTGCCACGCATCGGGGGCGGCGTCCATGCCCAGCAACTGCGGGGAAGCGAGCACGTGTCGCGGCGAGCCGCACCGCATTGTCTTACCTGGACCCTAAGCGAGTCCATAGCGCTTCGCGAGCCATGCGCAACAACAGCAGCCGAGCAGAGGGGAGTACTCCCTCGGTGTCTTGTGCCCGGCTGCCTTTGCCTGCCCGGTGGTAGCGCCGATTGAACCTCACCAGGCCGCGGGTGAGCGCGTACGATCTCCATGAAGCGTCCACCTTGTAGCAGGCCCGTCGCTTCTTTGGCAAGCAGCACTGCTTGGCAGAAGGAAGCGAGATCCATATGCTGGAAACTTGAAAGCATTCGAGCTTGACTGGTACCAAAGCGATCGCTCACCACCCTGACCAGCGATGGTGCTAATGGTGAACCCCACCCCCGGCCCCCGGCGGTGGCCGTCGGCACCGATGTGGCCTGCCCTGGCCACCAAGCGTGAGAAGAAGCCAAAACGGAAGTCCGCCTTGAGGTGCTGGATCTGCACAGGAGCCTAAAGATCCGACCCGGCCGGACCGCCTAAGCTCACCTGAGTTGAAGAGGGTGGGGAGAGAGGTGTAATAAGAGGGCGGGGATCCCGATCTTTCGGTAGAGTGAGGTAACTATCGTTTGTGGCGGGAGAATGACACCGATGGAAGCTTCAAATCGAAAGATCGAACTCACCGCAATCTTAGCACCACAGATTCCTCTGAATTTATCCCGGCTTGAGTCCGCGGACCGGGTTGACCTCGCCAAAGAAAGCTAATCCCTGCACTGCGTAATGAAAACACAAGCAAGAACAGAAGAAAGAACACAAACCAAATTGCGGATCAATGATTAATCTCATGAAGTTGGGAGTCTCACAAATCGATAAACGAGTAAGCTGTTCTTGACAAAATAATCTAAACAAAACCCAACCCTAATGAAGGGTGGCGCTATTTATGAAGACTCTAGGGTTATGCAAGACCCTGAACACGCCTAATGGCCCCAAACACGAAGTGAACCATGGTCTAACAAACCAAAAGATGATGTCATGACAAGACTGATAGATTCTAGATGCTAATTTGTGACCACGATTCCTATTGATTCTGAATAGATTTTGACGTGCGACCACTTGGATTGGCTTCTTTATCAAATTAGCTTTCCATCCATGTGGATCGCCCAAAAACAGAGTCGGATCAAGTCTTGGAATTTGACCCAGGTTAAAGCGGGCGGAGTCTGAAGGCCAGAGGCAGAACTCGAAATCATGTTGGGCCAAGGCCTCCGGTTCCACTGTTGGACGTCCTTGCCGGTCAACTCCGCCTCCCACACATCCTCTAAGTCCCCTCGACCCTGTCCATTGTTCCTGACAAGATAACATCATTGGTAATGAATGCAATTCTCAAAAATATAGAAATGATAAAGCTGAAGAAACGAGCTCACCTCTAAATTGAGTTGGCCTTGTTTGAGCCGGGTCATTGGACCTTATGCCTTAATAGTTGGAGGATCAGTATTTTACATCGAAGGAATGATGTCCTCATCATCCTCCCTCTTGAATAAAAGGTAAATCCCTCGACTCCAAGCTCATCTTCTTCTCCCAAATAAGGAACTAAAATACTGCCAATGTTAAAGTTGTGGGACTAGCCCCTAACTCGGTGTGGCAAACTCAAGTTTGTAGGCATTATCATTTATTTTCTCAATTATCTTATAAGGACCAGCTGTCTTGGCATTAATTTAGATTCTACATGACTCAGAAATCTATCTATTCTCAAATGTAACCAAACCAAATCACGGTTCAAGTTTAATCTCTTTTTCTACCTTTACTACCTGACACAATTCTATACTTTTCATTCATTCTTCAATATTTGCTTTAGTTGTTTATTTTTAACTTCTGAATAAAATCAACTTGCACGCTCTCTAGCATCACT